CACCCAATAGGGCCTCATCAGCGCTTAGTCTACCTCCCTCAAATCTATTATGTGTACTTGTGGTGCCTAACGAAAACGCACTAAATTTTTCAGTCCATGAATTCCAAGCCAGGTCTCTCTGAGCATCAAACCGAAACATCTTACCGAACGCGAACTGGGTGTAATGCGACGTGTGCAACTCGAAAAACTTATACGGTTCCAGCCCAGGTTGCTGCGTGTGACATGAAAGTAAACTTGAATTCCAGAATCTTAGTAACAACGCCTTACGAGAGACCACCGACACAAGCATATTCGAGTTTGCAGATTTTCTGCAAGGCAATTCCAAGGCAATTCCACAGGATGCTAGGCAGTGACGTGTATCACCGAAATAACACTTAAGAAATCGACAAATCAGTCCGCAAACAAGCACAAAATCACCGACCCACGGATAAGATCAAGTTTACCACAAACCCAGGCTATGTTGTTACCTTAACGGACTGAAACCCACGCTGTACAACTGTGAAACATCCTTTTCCGCGCTCAATAGAAAGCCAAAATGCTGTTTGCACGGCCGTCAGCAACAACGGCGATGAACGACCATCAGCAACATCTATAAACAAATAACCAGATGTCTTACGTACAGTACCGCCTTTTTGCAGGTGCGGGCGAGATAAGGATACACGTATTTCAAAAACCGCCCTAGTAGCATCGGTAGCTTGTTCTGTGGTTGCATATGTACAGCGAACCCTGTAATCCAAATGGATTGTTGTATTTAAAGACCACAAATATCGTAGACTAATTGTAATGTACTGCCTGAGAACATCATAAACGAGAGATTGGGTTCCAGGTGTCTCTCGAAAGAACGAAATTAGTTTGCAGATGAGTGTATATTCGCTAATCGTAGACTACTGTTTTTAGATTGTATTTTGTGAATCTGAATACCTTCGCTTGGCCATGGGCATTTTAGGAACTAGATGCAGTGACTCAGTCTCAAGCTTTACCAACCAGAAAATTAAAACCGGTGATGTACTAACGTGAATGTCCATCCTTTCAGGCGAATGCAGACGGCAACCGCCTTGGTAACCAAGAGGACTCTTAGGTTGCCTTGGAGACCCAAAACACACCGCTGCGAGATGCATAAAGTAAAACATCAAACGGAGATGCCTATAGCGAAACAAGTGGGAAAAACTATGGCGCATTTTCTTGAGAGGCGAACCGAATCCCAGTGTTTTTCGTCGAAACTTGACATTATAGAGTTTGTGAAGATAGAGCGCTGGTTAACTCACCTCACGGAAACGATCAAGGATCTGATCTTCAGCTTCGATGCTGTGTTGATTCGACGTCAAGTTTCCAGCTACCGCTGCAGCCCGCCGTAGTAGTGCTTGTGTGTTCACAAAACCTCCTGTTTCTGAAGCCGCTTTCCCCGTGTGCTGCCCAACAATATTAAACTGGTGCATACCACCCGAAGTTTGAGGGCTTTGACGTCCGCTTGGTGGTTGACTAGGCGATAGGGAAGCTAGGGATTCACTTAGATAGGGTCGATTGCTGGAGTACGGAAGAGAAACGCCAATGTTCATGCTTGACGCAGAGAAGTTAGTGGCGCCTCGTGTCCTTAATTCACTTGTTTGAGGTTCATGACCTTCCAACAGCAGGTTAACCAAATCACTGGGCTGAACATTCTGAAAGAAAATGGATTCACTTAAGGCTTTCACCATTCGATCAGACAGAATTCGATGTTTCTTGATAAGCAGCTAACACGAAAATATTCCGACTGGTAAGCATGATTCGACAAATACACTATTTACATCACAACCGTAAATTGGGATTATATTTTTCACTTTAGGGATGGAGATGTGGATCCTTGACATTAGACAAAACATGCGGACGAAGAGAATGCCACAAAATCATGGTAAACAAACCCTGATGGTTCCCCCGCTCCTACTCCGAACGTCCTGTAAATGTTTATGCAACCTGACCTGAAGAAGTCCAGCTGCGCAATTGCAGGTTATTTTTCACGGCCAGATAGCTGCGTAGTATCAATGCAAAGTATCAATTTCTCCCTGGTTAGCGAGATGGGTTGGTTGAAGATCTAGTGTGGCAGATTCTTATGCACCAACAAACACCCTCCTCGCCTAACTCAACATTCGAGCTTCCATTCGTGTCTAATCACACGCTCAAATGTATTTTGGACTTGACATCATGGTAATGCAAAAAATAATAAATAATCTAAATAATTCCGCCTCAGGGTTTGGCATGCAAAGTGTAAAGTGCTGTTGCAAGACTGGGTAGGCTCGGAACCCAACCTCATGTTTGCGGATAAACCGATTGAGGTAGTAGACAAATTTGTTCACCTGGGGAGCTGTATCAGTCCCGGTGGTCTCGCGAAGGATGATATTTCCATCGGGATAGGGAAGGCCAGAACAGCCTTTGTGAACCTGCGTGACCTGTGAGGTACGCGTGATATCAGCTTAACCGTCAATGGTCGAGTTTACAATGCTGCGATGCTCGCCATATTACTCTACGGGTCAGAGACCTCGCCGCTGCACGCCGAGGACGTCAAAAGACTTTCAGTGTTTGACCGTCGATTTCTTCCGCGCATTGCTCGAGTTTGGTGGGAACACCGAATCAGCAATGCTGAAATGGAATTCGGAAGACATAAACGACTGATTGCGTTCGCTTGGCCACGTGCTCCGTATGCCAGTCGACCGTAGAAATCCATTCGCACAACCATGTGAAGGGTTGAAGAGGCAGGGGAGATCAAACTATGACTCGGCAGCGAAATATAAAAGCCATTAATAGCAAACTCAGCTGTGCTGGTAACAGCCGTCTTCCTGGGTGGACACACCGAAACGAGCCACATCAATGGTAAGGACATTTTCAGACATTGTCACGAAGAGACTGGACCTTACCGTGGGGGGACGGTTTGCGCACCTCAGCGATCCATTGAGCTATACTGGAGAATGTCCCGCGACACTCACAGAGTCTCTCATACCAGGTTGGTCGATGGTTAGAGGTCTGACGAACACAGTCTTCTGGCCCTCCAGGTTGGGGTTGGAACATGTGGCGACTTGTTCCGTAGATATCGTAATGCATTTGCATTTCCCGCCAAACACCGCTGCCTTGCGGTTAGGCATTTGAGCCAAAGGCTTTGGTTGAGGACCGTAATCGTCCTCCTGTCTAGGTATGGGCGCCCTGGCAGTATCCCAGCCCACGTACAACCATGAACTGCACATACACAAATAAACTCATGTCACATCGGCCGTCGCATGGTGCCATCAGCCGGGTCACCTTAATTGCTGGATACAGCAGGGCGAGTAAGCCAAAACAGGCTACTGTTGACGCATACCTTCTTTCTCTTTCACATACTTTTCTTCCTCCTCTCCCCACCCCATTATTAACTCTCCTTGTAGCACTCCAGCACTTAGGACTGATGACTCCGTTCGTCATGCATCGGTTTTGAGTGCAGCACCTGCTCGTCACATGGTGCCGATATCTTTAGGAATCTCCAAATCAGTCCTAAAGCCTCGACGCCCAGTCTATCTGGCCGCGTTCAGTGTCCGCACTCTGAAGCAAGCAGGACAACAAGCTGCTCTTGCACTAACACTGGACTCGCTTGGCATTGATGTATGTTGTGTCTCAGAAACGAGAATTCAAGATGCAAGCACAGTGATTGAGTTAACCGCCCCGTCAGTCTCCACTCGCTTCCGCTTGGCACTGATGTGTGCTGTGTCTCAGAAACGAGAATTTAAGATGCAAGCACAGTGGTTGATTTAACCGCCCCGTCACTCTCGACTCGCTTCCGGCTGCGCACCTCTGGTGATCCAGAGGTCCGATAATTCGTCGCGTTATGTTCGGAACCGACAGGGATATTTTCTTCCGATTTAAGCAGTGCCACTGTTCGCCCTTATGTCCACTACTTGAGTGTGCATCGTACCACAGGCGAAACCCCCAGCACTATGCAAATAGGTGATCTCGTCCCACTGTGGCAGTGGAGCGGTTGGAAGAGATTTAAAAAACGATTCTGGCAAATTCGTCTAACATCCGGATCTGCCAGTCTGAGTTGCTAAGCAATTTTCCCAATTTGCCTGCTGCCCTAGAAAACGAAGGGAAAAGCGACTCCGGACGAGCGTGTGGTGGGAAGCTACAAATGTGTACCAAAATGACTGGCAGTCAGTTACTGATCCGCACCACCTGATGGCAATGTGAGTACGTAGCCGGCATGCCGTCGGAGGATACTATGTGGCCAAGTGGATATTTTGGAAGTTAGTATTGCACAAAAGCAGCTTAAGGTCTGCACACAGCTGAAGCAATCGTTCACCATTGTCCGTACGTACAGAGTCCTATCCATGTTGATCACTTAATTGAGTCTCAGATGCGCCAAGCCTGTCCACTTTTGCATTCAGATCTCCGGCAACCACCACGACGCAACAGAGAATTCAAGGGGCCGTAAAATTTGTCTCCGATAGTGTGAGAGCTACAGTCGGTTGGGGTATAAACAGACATGCCAAACAGATTATCCGCTTCTGGGGCCCCCTCACAGACGTGGTCAGACGAACCGTACAGAGGCGACTATCAGCGAGTATCCAGTCAAGCAAGGATACTCCCGTTCGGTGACCTAAGGTGATACAAACCCTTGCACATTCTGCCGCAACAGCCTCTGGATTGCCAGAGGTTTGCAGGCGGAAGTGAGTGGAGAGTGATGGGGTGGTTGACGAGAACACTATACTTGCATTTTGCGTTATTGTTTCCGACACAAAGCACACATCAATTCAAAGCGAGTCGAGCATGAGGTCAAGAGCAGTCTTGCTTCAGAGTGCGAACATCGAACGCAGCCAGAAAGACTGGGTATCGAGAATTGAATATCAATTTCGAAGTGCCGGAGAATGTCAGCGCCCGATGATCGACAGAAGTTGCTTGCAAAACCAATGCAGGACGAAAGGAGCCATCAGTCTCTCAAAAGGGAGAGAGTTACTAATTGGGTGGGAAGAAAGGGAAGAAAAAGTGTGCGAAAGGGAAAGGAGGCGTCAGCAGTAGCCTGTTTTTGCTCGCCCGCCCTTCTGTATGCAGAGAGTAAAGCGACCCGGCCGATGACACCACGCGGCGACCGATGTGGTATGAGTTTATTCGTAAGTGTGAAATTCATGGTTGTACGTGGACTGCGATGCTGCCAGGGCGCCCATACCTAGATAGGACGATTATGGTCCTCAACCAAAGCCTTTGGCTCAAAAGTCAGTCTGCAAGGCGGTCTTTGGCTGGAATGCAACTGCGTATCATTTTTACAAAACAAGTCACTACAAATGTTCCAAGCTCCAAACTGGGGGCTGGATTGTATTCGTCAGAAGTCGACCAACATGGCATGAGGGACTGTGCAAACGTTGCAGGGATACCAACTCAACGGGTCATGAGGATACACAAATCTTAGCACCGGGGTACGGTCCCTTATACTTGCTGAACCAAACTGTAGAGGCTGCAATCGACGCCCTCTCAGACGATGGTTTGTAGCTGACGAACCAAAACAAATGAACAGAATTATACCAATCTTAAAGTGTCTCTAAGGGATTGCATATTATGAGTAATCACTCCGTCAATCAGCTATAAACCGTCCACCATGGGCACAATGGTTCCTGCTGCTACAGTTTCAACCACACGGAAATGGAAGAGTGTGGAACATGCATCCAAGTTTTGGAGGCGATAGCACATTTGAATACTTCGGAAACTGGGTAGCGAGCGCCACTAACTGCGTGATTGGGCCATTTCTGCCAGTGTCATTAGCCATTGGTGAGTTGCATTTCGGGGTACCCGTCCAGGAAGGCTGCAATTGTCGACCAGACTCAGTTCACTGGTTAGTGTTTTCATATTTTGTGGCCAGGTCATAAACTGTCCACCTCTCAGTCGCTTCCACTCAGTACAGGGCTGGGCAAAGAGCTCTACGAGACGGGCGGTCTTCTGGCAAGCAGAGTACGTCTCCTAACGAACGTAACTTATTGAGCGTGAGTTGCTTCTTCCTATGATCATCTGGCACACCTCACCATCACTAATCTGATGTTCCCACCAGACCGGACCAATGCTTCGAAGACATCAACACTGACAATTTGTAGCCATGCCTCTAATCCATGGAAGAGTGAGGATCGCACAACCGTTGCGTAAACTCAGCCCTTGGTGGAAAAACTGACATCACGTCGGCGCCATATGTGTCAGATGACGGCAAAAGCTGTCCTGGTTTTCCCGAGCTGAGAAGTAATCTGGTCACCAGCCAACCCACTGGAACTTATACAAGTGCCCAGATAAACAAATTGACCAACCCCTTCGATTGGCTCGTTTGCAAGCATGAGGATCGGGTTTGGTCCTACCCAGTCTTGATATGAGTGACTCGAAGGTAGTACGTAACAATTGGGGGTGAAGTTCGGGCTCGTAGCCAACTATCTGTGTCGGCATCCAATGACAACGTAACTTACCATATATGCTTCATCGCACCGCATTTGCTCTACTTCGACAGATAGTTCGGCAAATACGGCGTCATCCTACTACAAATTGCGTTTGCTGAGTTGCCTATCTTGTTAACAAGAGTAAAGACTGTCGATCTCGGGAATACATTACTTAGCATCATAAGCTGTCAGTTAAGTAAACGGAGGTTCCTATTTCACAAAATATCTGCACGACAGTTGGGTTAACTGACTGATAGAAACTCAAACTGAAGTCGACTCGGGTTGGTACGACTGGCAAATTAGAAGCATACCTTTTAAAAACTCTATAGTTGCTTTCGCTCTAAGTGGAAACACAGCCCCAGCTTTAAAAAGGTCAATGTCATCATATTCACCCACAGCAATACCAGCGTGGAACACTGGCGCACCACTGCCGTGCAGCCTTAAATACTTAATAATATTAGCAGTAACAGTAACAGTAATGAAAGAATGAACATACTCCGTTGTTTTTCACCATTGCCTCAAGAAATGTAAGAAGGAGACCAGCTGACTCCCAATCGATTGGAAGTCTGTCTTGCATTTCGGCTAACTTTTCTCTCAAAAAAGCGAGCACGTCTGCCTTAAGAGTGCTGGATCTGTTTAGTGGGCCAGGATATAGCAAGTGTTCGGTACGATCCCAAGCGACGGCGACTGCAGCACATGCGCGCATTGCCTCCCCGTCATCACCTCCAGCCCCCGCTTGGAGACTGGATAAGCGACCTGACGAACCCACACCAGAGGCACCGCTGCTGTAGCCGTCACGAATTTGTTCGCCCTCACGGTCTAAAGCAAGGTCGTTCAGACGGGTGAGGTTGGTAATTGAGGGATCAGCCTCTGATAAACGTTTGGCTGCCTCTGCAACAGCCTCACTGGCCAGTTCGCCGAGGTCAAGCATCTCAATGCGGGCCAGTTCGCCATCAGAAGGCCGAGTCGGTAAAACCTGAAGGTTAAAGTAAAAAACGGAACTAGGGTGAGTGCCAACGCCACGGGTGAAATGATATTCTTGGGTACCATAAAGATAGTAAACCCCAATACGACCGTATGCCTGTAAAACCAACAGATGAACAAAAAATTAACTCACTTGGAGGACAATGCCTGGGGTGGCTAGATAGGCTCGAATATGTGGTGTGTGGAACAGCTTCGGGGTTTTCCGACCACTTGGCTGGAGCCCGGTGTAGAGCTGAGTCCCGGGCCACAACTGGGAAGCAGCCATGCCGTAATAGTACTGATAATAGTATGAAGCGTAATCGAAAGTACCAGTGACTGTGGTTCCCGATGGTGTCGGTTGTATGGATGCAGGTCCGGGACGTACGTATGAAGGGCCACTGGGTTGGACAGCGCCAGCCTTCAGGCTGAGGTGACGTGGGGTTGTTTCGGCAACAGGGTGATTCGTGACTGTAGGTTGATTGTTAATGGATGCCCCCGGCGGCTGAGGTAGTTGGTATCCAGGGTAAAATTGACTATAGTATTGTGACATCATCTGATACCACTGGGTAAATGGGTCAGTCTCTATAATAAGAGAAACGGGAGTACGGTAAACAACAACAGGCTACATGAGATAAGAAGGTCGCACTCCATTAATGAACTTGAAGCATCACACTAACCAAGTCGATTAGCCAACATGATTGCAGAGCTTCACTGAGCTGCAAACATTGATAGGTTCCGAGAGACGTACATAACTGTTTTTATTAAAAACTGTTGGGGTCATTAGACCGCCGCGTAAAAAACTGGCTTCACAGATTATAGCGTCTAGATGAACAGGGTACCACGAGTTCAACAAGCGTTTGGATGCTGTATATTTAGGGAATGCAGACGACGAACAAAAAAGAATCTAGAGCAGCTTGTTGGCCTGTCTGAACTGAAGCAGAATGAGGCCTGAACGCATGAATCGGAGCGGTAGATGCGAGCGGTGATACTTAATGTGTCAACCCTCTAAGTGCCTGATGGATGTGGTTGGAGCTGATGTCTACAGTAGAGCGATTATCGAAAGGGGCAGGATGGGGGTCAACAAACATCAAAGATGAGGTGCATCAGCAGTGGCGAGATTCCGCTTATCCACCTTGCTACACGCAGCGAACAAGACTACCCAGCTGATATCGCCGTGCGACGGCCGACGAGGCATGTACTCTTATATGTGGAGTTCGTGGTTGTATGTAGGCCGAGTGCGCCCAAAATCTGAGAGAACCAAAGATGAAGGTTCTGAACCAAAGCCCTCGGTTGAAAAGCCTGATCGAAAGGGGCCAAATTTGCTATGCCGGCGTCAACTTCCAACCTGGATGGTTAGGACTGTCTGTCACACTTCTGTAGAGCGAAAAACCTGTGGAACACTTCTGTAGATGCTGAATGAGCATCATCGAGTAAAGCTAAATGGATTGTTGTATGCGAACTGTCACATAACGACAAGGTTCAGTCTATTCGTGATAACATGGTGGACAAGCGATGAACTCACGACAACCACCATCGACGGCATAACATCAGCATTCAACAAAAAGATGCTTCGCTGCCGTACAACTGTAAATTACTTGAAAGATTTATTGTGCAGAAAAGAATGAAAGTAGGTGGGGAAAGGACTGCGTGCTGGCTTGCCACAACCACTCCGAATTGCATACACGTGCAAACACTCATTCAGGCAATCCTATGGAGATTCACAAGAACGCCACTGACATCGATTAGAAGCCATACCTTGCAGCATCTCCTACAAGATGCGGTTGGGATCACGCGATTCTCATCCCGGAAGGCGAATCGCACTGATAGCACCCAAATGTTTCGTAGTCTTTTTCATAGCCCCCTGCCAAATCAAGGGTTGGTCACCTATCCGTTTCCCCCACACTAAGTTGGGCACGGAAAACAGCACTCACTTCACTAAATGATGGTTCGGCATGCGCAATACACGGCCTTATCAACGCAGCTCCTGGTGTTGGACACATTCTTCAATGAAAGTCCCCGTTGCACAACCAGAAACTCGCTTTCTAATTGTCTCGATACGGATTTGCCGACCCAAAACCACACGAGCAATGGTCCTTAGGTAACTGTTGTCGAACACCCGAAGACGTATCAGTTCCACTAATAGGAGAGGCCACGTCTCACATCCATCTATAGCAAATGCCAAAACTGCGTGCAGTCATACAGGAAGTGTTCTGGTACAACCGTACGTAGGCATTCCCTGTGACGGGGTAGCAAGATTGGCTCCCCACAAGAAGCTTCATAAGTGCTGGCTTCTTGTAAACGCTGTATTCTGGAAACAGCTCAGTGGTTAAGGCGTTGCCATGATGACCAGATGTTCCATGGATCAGTTCCTACGTTGGCAGCTCTTTTGGCTATTGTAAAAACTTGGGAAAACTTGTAGTATCTCATCCTTTGCGCCTGCTTCAGGGGGAAGGCTGTAGGCATGCACTTAAGGGGGAATCCAGCTGCAGTCATTAGCATATTATTCTCAGCTCAAGACGCCATACGGAGATCCCCAATGTCTAAGAATTATACCTGAAGGAACAGCCTGGAAATCGGCTGAATGGTGACCTTGGGCGTCGGACAATTAACACATAGAACAGGTTAGTCAGAATGTACCCATATCCACATTCATTTGACTCTAAGTGGCACTCAGTTGAAGCACTCTTTTGGTGCCGAACTGCCAGGCACCCAAAAGAAGCACGGTGGCTGGGATCCTGCCAGGCTGCCGAAGTCTAGACAGAGGAAGTCGAGAGGCAGGGGACGGGTTCGAACTACAAACCTGTCGGTCAGTAAATTCGCCCTATAATCACTGAGCCATCTCGCTCCAAATGCTTAATTGGGACTCATTAATGAATCTCGCGGACTACCGAGTGTTCAACAACCCCAAGACCAGTGTTCCTTCAAGATGGACAACAGCTGTCGATTGCATTCCGCAGAAACAACTTCGAGTTACGCATTTTCTGTCAAACAATGGCCTCTTGATCTACCAACCTTCAATTCAAGAGGACATATGACAGTCCGCTAGGCGTTATTGAGCAGCTTCGAGCTCGAGATAGCTACTAACCGAAATGTTCGTGCTTCGGATCTAACCCTGGCCTTCTGATCACTCATAGGCTAGGGAGATTGTTCAGGTGGTTGGAGTGCGAACTGACTGCATTCCTTACTCTCACTTCGAACTCAGAAGCATCTGTAGTCAATAGAAGGATTCGGTTATTTAAATGTGGCATACACCAGAAATTTCTCCTTACTATCGGAAGTAAGACACTCGGTGTCCAAACCGAACTCGCTTCACCGATCACCAGCTCACCTAAACGCGCCCATTAATTTCGGAAGTCAATAAATTGGGTGGTCTTTGTGGTCCCCACAGCCATTCATTGACGTAAGCTTGTTTACATGGATAACAGGCGTAACTACGGCATGACTACGTCACTTGAGCTAACAGTGTGCCGCAAAACATCAGGCGACACCACTCGCTGTCTGTCTTTGGGTCATACAATATTGCTGGAAGACATCAGGCGACACCACTCGCTGTCTTTGGGTCATACAATATTGCTGGAATTTAATGACAAGCTCTGCACCTTATCGGGCAAAAGAGAGTGATAAAAAACGAAGACCTACTTTCACCAGATGGCGCAGCCGGTTGTGACTTTTGTGGTTTCTTCGCGACTGCCCGTGCACGATCCACAGCTGTAAGACGAGACGACTTTCCGACCGGTTTAGCGTAAGTACTGGGAGGAGGTCCGCGGGGAGAACCTCTAGGACGCCCGACGGAAGGCCGCGCCGATTCAACTGTATCCGGAACCTTTTGGTTTTGGGGTTCTTCCGTCCCAACACTCAGGGTATGCAACTGTGGAGCATCACTAAAAGTGGATACGACGGCATTGTTACATGAATCCTGGTGTACTCCTGTTCCATATGGTGTGCTGAATGTAGTCGGAAAGGATTTATGAAAGCTAGTCATCTGCTCAGCATGGACGCCGTCAAACGAACTGGACAAAAAGCCAGAGTTCGAATTGCCGGCGAAATTCGCTTGGGGAATCTGAGGTTCCTGTCCAAAGCTGTAGTCCATTTTATAGGTATCGGAGAATACAGAAGGCTCTGTGTGCTCGCGAAACGGTGCATGGTTGAGCCCCCCTGTCTGTTGAGATGCCAAGAAAGCTTCTCCGGGTTGGCCTGCACTATAGTGATGCATCGTTGAACTAAACAGACTGTCTTCAGATATCTCGTACATACCCATTAGGATACTGGGTGTCCATTTAACACCGGAGGCCTCGTATAACTGGAAACAAGTGACGTCGGTGGCGGACAAAACCCGCGCCCAATTTATTCTAACGTGCTGGTACAAGGAATGCTACTGAAGGTCAGTTTAAAATCTAGCGGTTTCGGGAGGTTCCATTGGGTCATGTACGAGCAGGAAATAAGCCACTCTAAGGAAAAGTGTGGGATGAACATATTTGCAAGTTTTTGAGGGCTGGAAAGCGTAATTGGTATCACAACAGTGTCAGTAAGATTGAAGCTCGTCTTACAGTAGCACCGATCGGTCTATTGTGACCCGCTGGAACCAAGCCTAGAAGCCAGTGCATAGGCGGTAGATAGCCTATAAGGAAGGACGTCATATGAATGCATATACAATTTTCTGACTTTGAACGTTGCCGCAACTGGGTGCAGTCATCGTAGACATGTGTAGAACTTCCGGCATGGCTTGTGGACTTTCAAACCAAAAGGGATTAGAAGAATCCAGGAAACAGCGAATTTCCTCGCTTCGTCACACAGTGGTAAAGAAGCGTAATACTTTACACTTCTGGGCCTCCACAGGAAGAAGCCAACTAACTAATTCTTTCCAACATGCGCCTCTACCATTGACGGGACTCCTTGTTTTTAAGGAAAACGCGTCCACCCACTGTCGCGGTTGGCTGATTTTGTTGCCCAACAGATGAATGCCTTTTTATTATTTTGGCGAGGCCTCTGAGGTTGGTACTCCTAAGTAATCAGACTGCGACTTCAATAGTGAGCACTTGGTTTCAGCCTCAGGCATCATCGCAGGCATCGCCTATTTAGACTGCCGACGTGCGTGACTTAGAAGCCCCAAAATCCTTCCGTCGATCAAGACGACACCACATTTCTCTCGTTCAGAAAGGTTCTCTACTTTTGAGTTTTTCAACGAAGCAGTCGGTTTGTTCTCTCTTTTAGCACTACTCAGTTATGGTTATGGTTATGATAATAATCGTTCAGCTGTAGCGCCCTTTCGGTGCCTAGCTGCCACGCCACCCGAAGAGAACACGAGGGCTGGGATACCGTCAAGCTGTCCAAACCTAGACTTGGAAGTCAAGATGCAGAAGTCGGGTCGAACCACGGGCCTTCCGGTCAGTAACTTCGCGCTCTAACCACTTGAGCCATCTCGCCATCTCTTTTGGTTATGGTCATCCACGACCGTATCAGCGGTATGACGCATGTGTCAATGACAGGAAATGACCCTAAATTAAAATTTCCTCCGTCATGTTTAGTAGATGTTCTGAACGAATCAGGGAATTAATCTGTTCCCTTCAAAATACCCCATTGCTGTCTTAAAAACATTCGCGAATTTCACAGGTAACAAAAGGCTAGTGCGAGGTACGTCAACCTTGAACTTCAAGCGAGTTCGCTGCGGCAGCTCCGAAGGACCCATAATATCGAGAGAAATGCATCGATGTCTTAATCCAGAGAGCCACAATATGTTTGTGCGGTGACTATTTTACCAAGACAGGAGTACACCTTTACGTGTCCCCTCCAATGGCTGAACCGACTTAACGAGGAGTACACTTTACGTGTCCCCCCCCAAAGGCTGAGCCGAATCAACGGACCCCCACACAAGAACTCTGTCCACTGAAAGAATTCATTCACCTAATTTCGCGCTCAGAGAATGCTCCAGACCAGCGGAAGAATCATGACCTTGGGTCGCAGTGTTTGTATGCGGAGCCAGGACCACTGCTAGGGTCCGTTTATGGGATTGGCCACAGATTTTTCACACAGATGCCAAAGTGCGTCACGCTCTTTTCAATTTGGACTTTTGTTCTCGTTTTCTATTAGGACGTTCATCTATAATCAAACGGCACCCCCAAGGTACTAGTGTGATGGCGTACGCTATCTCTGTGGCATGCGAGTGGTCCGTGGTCATGACGAAGTTCCTCCCCACATCTAATGAAAGGCTAAGCTTGCTAGTGAACTTGTGGAACTTCTTTGCAGTGTTCAGTTTTTCAAAACTTTGTGTATATGAGACTTGCTTCCCTGTCCAATAGCTTGTATGACAAAAACTGTAACCTGACACAAACTTGTCCCAGCATTGACCACTGGAGATCAACTGAGGTTCGTAAATTAGATAATTTAGCAAGATTCAGACTTCCCAGGCTTCTAGTACAAAAGTCGAATAACCGATGTGCAAACGATCGCCTCCGAATACGGAACATGTGGTCCCTCTTTTTCTACAGCTTTCGACTCCTCTGAACTCTTGGCCCTCTTCCAGTTCAAGGGTTTTTATATGGTCATGGCTGTGGCCTTTATTGCAGTTAGGAAACCCAGTATGAGCTTAGGCTTGGGCATCCCGTGGCTTTGTGAATCCAGGCATTTAGCTCCCTCAGTTCCCCTTACCATTTTTAAACCGCAAACGTTTTCGATGTAGCGTATTTTCTGAAGGCGTCTCGACCTCACACGATGGACTAGAAGTGCCTAACGAAATCACGGTAGAGTTATTCCGTAGATCTGAGAGACAGTTGCCAATAAATACACGAAGGACAGTAAGGACAAATGAACCTTGCCATCAAATACATGATTTCCGCGACCTCAGTTCACTTTTTACGGAATTCTGCTGACCTTTCCAGTTGACCTCTGTGCCTGTGGTTACTGATTGTGCCCTCCTATCTGCCGTCTTCTGCCTATTCCTTTCCAGAAAAGCGGTCAGGTTTGCTCGATCTACCCTCCTGTCCTTTCCAAAATCACCCGGAGACAAGGGTATTGTAGGCCACCGCCCAATTTCCTCATCAACTGGATGCTGACCGTCGATTTCGTGTGGCTGTCGCCTACGCCCTCCACAGCAGGTGTTCTGTCATTAATGCGATAGGCAGGTTTGCGATGGCTGTCGCCAGAAGGGGTCCCATGAAGTCTGCAGGTCATGACTCCCCGACCTCCGAATCAGGTGCTGCTACATTTGGTGGCTCGGCCATGTTGTGTCCTTTTTCGCCCGTTGGTACTGTTTACAGGCCACCACGCAATCCATTACATTGTACCTTAGTGGTCAGAAGGCCTTCTGGTAATGTAAGTCATATGTGTTGATGCATTCTGTGTACCATCTCGCGGCATTAAACGATCAGGCTTTGTCTCAAGACGCGAGGTGCCACGGCGACGCTCCAGGATATTAAGATGGCTTTACTGGGGCTCAGCTAATCGGGAGCATTCTGGAACATCTCCGGTTTTGTCACATTCGCGGCTCTCAATATCTCCCTCGTGTTTTCCAGGAGGCTCCAATCTTGCGTAGCAGGTGTCCTGTTGGCGTGATCTCCCCAAACTCTATGGATCTAGTTCGACATCGTAGTTACTGGCGCCGACCACTATCGTCGGAGCCTCCTCTCCAAGCTCAGGCCTCGAAAGCCAACCGGCCAAATGGTTCCGTTTTGCTGGTACGTGCCGCGTGAGGAAGTCGCACTCTCACAACCAGGCTGCCCAGCGCGCTGGATTCCTCGAGAATCTCTGGTGATTCTGATCTAGTGGAGGGCTTTTCCCTCGGTCTCGAAGAGAAACCTTAGTCCTATGTCTGGGAGAAATCCATGTTGAGCTTTAGATATCAGCTTGTTGGAAGCAAGGCGATCTAGAATAGCTCGCTTCAGGTGTTGGAAGCCGATCTAGAATAGCTCGCTTCAGGATGTTTTCCATCACCTTGCACGGCACGCTGGTGAGGCTTATAGGTCTATAGCTGCCTGCCAATAGTCGGTCACCGGCTTCATAGATTGGCGTAACAATCGCTTCCTTCCTAGCGGAGGGAAGGCGGTCTTCGTCAAGCGACTGACGAAACACCAGATACAAATTATTTGTCAGTGTAGACGACGCTTCCTCCAGGATCCTTGGATGGACCTCGTCAGGCCCCAACGCGCAGAATGGGTTGATCTTGTGCAAGAGTTGACGAATGTCCTCCACCGTGAAGACCAAGTCGGTTAGAGGCTGTTCTTAGTTTCGCCTTGGCAAGAGTGGATGTGACGAGGACGCTGGGGCTGAGCATAGACCCGCATAGTGTTCTCTGTAAACCTCAGATACCATCGTTGTATCATTTGTCGGTTCTCCTTTACTGTCCCTCAAGGAGAACGCGGATGGCTTGTTTCTGCGGCGATGTCTCATGTACTTGAACAGTGGGCTTTTGTTTTTTCGAGCGAGCTCCAGAATGGTGGCTTGTTTTCGTAGGTGGACTTCTGATTTGCGCTGGTTCCATATTTTAGGAAATGTCAACTCATCTGTATCCCTGTAGTCAACTTTGTGAAAAAAGTTGGGACTTTTTTTCAGAAGTCGCCAAATCCTTTTTGGCAGCCTGCGACTCATCCGAGTGCGTGCTGGTTTTTCTGAGACGAACACCTCGTCAGCCTTGTGAACTTTCTGGACAACGGTCCTATATAGTTCTTCCACTGAAGTTAGTCACAGAAAGATTCGCATTCCTGAGAAGTCTGCACGGCGGAAGTCACGAAACCACGTTTGAAGTTTGGGATTTCTAGCCCATTAGCAGATGCAATAAAAGATTGGCATACAGCGGTCGCTATGTCCCAGTGGAGCGTTAAGTGTTACCTGATCAACGGAGTGTCTTTCGTTGGTGATGACTAAATCCAGGAGAGATGGCCTTTGGCCTGCGCGGTTTTTGGTAGGCGCAACGACATGTTGAGTCCAAGCGCTCTGTTGAACGACCTCAATCAGCGCCGCTGCAAAAAACCCGCTTGATTCGACGCGCTGGAGCCCCATCCAGGAAGCCCTTGGAGGATTGAAATCACCTATCTCTCCGCATGTGTGGATGCGGTTATTTTTACAATGTCAATGTTGTTATTTGGGACTGCATCCTCTTATTCAATGGCGTTCGAATGTTTCGTGAAATGACTGAACACATCGCAAACTAGCCGACAACCACCGATGTCCATCATCCGCGCAGTTTCCTCAGTCTTGCGTCATGTTATCCAATAACAAATGATGGGTTTGCTGCCATAAGAGCGTTACTTCGAGGGATCACCCACAAAGGCTATAAAACTGCGTAGACTGAAATGTGACTTGTCTTCAACTGCCTGAACCAGGCACTAACATCTCCATCTATTTCAGCACGCCTGGAGGTTCCACTTGGCACAGCGGAGTTTGCCTTAGAGGCGAGCACAAGCGAAATGGCGATTGGTGCCATACTGCCCCAACGTGTTGCTGATCAAGAAGTTGTCGTTACATCTGGTAGCCGTGTCCTGGACTAACGTGAACGTAAACACACTACTTGCTAATTTGCGCCTGATGACCCCAAGAGACCCCAAAACAAGGACATTGCGGTCACGATGGGGGCAGCTGCGAGTGTTACGAACACCTCACTTTGTAAATAGTCAGGATGATAAACATGGCGTCAGCGCCCGGGAGAATGATGCGGCCACCCAGCGGAAATTAAGACACACTAGGCAGAAGACAATTGGACGGCACATAAGTCGTGCTGCCCCTGCCTTATGCTACACAACAATGCCGTGGCGTCCTGGCACTACCGCTGCCTGCGTGAGGAAAGCATGGCACCCATTATAACACCAGAAGGAATGCACCGAAAGTTCTCCGCAGAAGGGCATAAACATCAATTTAAATTGGAGTCGATGAAGACGTGCCGGAGACCAGGAATGGAAGCGGATGTACTGCCGTGATCCCTGACTGCCTGGCTAAATGGAGTTAAGCCGTGCTAATGAGGAAGACAGGCGCTTGACATCTGTGAGAGTTTTCGAATGGGTATTGCACTGTGACCCACCAGTTGCTTCACATTTGGTCAAGGCGCAGCTTTCGCGTCACCCGCACAGAATCACGTTTCCGATTAGTTGATACGTCATCTTTCATTGTAAAATGTTCGTTAATCCGAGGCATCTACCGGTCTCGGAAAATCACT